TTTCTTTCTTTCTTTCTTTCTTTCTTTCTTTCTTTCTTTCTTCCTTCCTTCCTTCCTTCCTTCCTTCCTTCCTTCCTTCCTTCCCTCCTTCTTTTCCTTCCTTCCTTGCTTCTTTCCTTTCTTTTTCTTTTTATTTTTTTGTACTGGGGATTGAACCTGGGACCTTGAGCCTACGAGGCAGGCAGAGGAACCACTGAGCTAAATCCCCAGCCCTATGCTGCTTCCTTCACAAGTGGAATTTTTTCCATTTCTACCACTTCTTAGACAGGTATAATTGTGCCCATTTTGCTTTTCCTTTCAGATACAAGATTTGTCTGTTTAAGCAGGCAGAGAAGGGTGAGAGCAGACATAAGTTTTAGAGAGACATAGGCTTTGGAAGCAGAGATCTGGGTTTGAACTCTCCCTCTTGGCCTCCCTGGTGGTCTGGCCAGAGCAGGACTTACCTGTAGCAGTGATGGGATGGAGATGGGGAGTATGCTGAGAATCTGTGTGTTTCAGGGCTTTACTGGGTGTGTTCAGACTTGTGGCAAAGATGAGGAGGATCACTGTTCAGCTTCTGCCACCATGAAACCCACGATCTGTTGCCATAAATGGCTTTGTGGGATTGAACCGAGAAAGTGATGAGTGCTCAGCAGTGGATAGCGGGCCAGGAAAGAGAGATCCTGCTGAACAGTGGAAGGGTATGAAAGGACGGCTTTTTAGAAGAGGTGGCATTACAGCCAGGTCTGACTGGAAAAGAGACGCCGTCAGGTGAGAGAAAAAGAGAAGCTGATTGCACGTCAAAGGAGAGAAAGGAAGGCATTCAAAAGGATCATGCAACGAGCACATGGCATGTAGAAGAGTTAAAAACAAAAACCTCAAACAAACACACACACAAGCAAAAGAACAAATGAAGCTGAATTGGTGGGGTTTCCCCTACCCCTCCTTCCTGCTCTTCTTGCTCTCCCTCCATCACTTCCTTTGACCCTTCAGTGACAAGTATGTGCCAGGTACTGAGGCCGAGTGCTGACCCAGATGCATAGCCTCTCCCCCGAGCCTAGGGTGCAGCTCTCCCACCAGGGAACACAGATGCTGACAGGTAGGGAGCTGGCAGGGCCGTGCAGCTGCAAGGCCAACTAGACAGCTCTGACAGTGGCTGCACAGGCAGCCCTAGAGCTTCCATCCTCAGAATGTCATGGCGCTGCAACGACGGGGACAAATGGAGTTGCTATCATAGCCCAGCAGGATTCTCACACAGTCCAGTGGAAGGGTGAAAAACCTCATGAACCTCAGAGCCATTCTGCTCAGACTCACATGTCAGTTCCAGTACCGGACAAGTTGTTTAGCCTTTCTGCTTTAGCTTACTTAATTCTAAAATGGGAATAAAAGTTTCTCAGTAGACTTATTGTGGAGATTCAAGGAGTTAGTACATGTAACTTCTCAGAAAAAATGCCTGGCATGTATTGGACGTATACCTTTATATATAATGGGACATATATGTGTATATGTATTACTATTAAATTTAAATACTATCTTTAAATTATCTTGAAAGAAGTGCATCAAATGAAGGTGAGCTTCCAAAAGAGGCATTCACTGGTCCCACTTTGGCTAAGAGCTATAGGTACAGTAGTTTGTTGTAGTGAAGGAAGCAGCTTTTCAGGAACATGAGAACCACATACATTCAAACATTCTGGAAATAAAATAATAGTAATTATTTAGAATCAATCTGATCATTGTTACAGTACTTTCTTATCCAAACTTGGCAAGAAAGTTAAATGAACAAACACACACACACACACACACACACACACACAACCATGCAAATACACTCTGAGGTGTCTCTTTAGAGAAAAAGAGTGTGTTGTTTAACCATTGAAAATATCTTACAAACTTAAATCTAGTCCTTGGATACCGTGAAAGAGAAGCCCAAGAAACTCATGTACTTCCATTGTCCCAGCTAATGGTCTATAACACAGCTACTGGAGGCCAAACCCCTAGATAAATTCTGCCTTCTGAGAGCCAGATTGCTGGCTGAGTTTCCTACCGGCCTATAGAAGGCAGAGTTATTTTTCCTGGGGGAAGAATGAGATCGGTCCCTCACTTTGTACATAATGGTAGAAATACACAAAAGTGGTTAATATTGGGCAAAGAAATGTCCAAGATATCAGTGTCCAAAAGGAAATTCTTATACGCATAATTGGATTCAATAATTTTGGTTTCAGGAATGTTTGTCCTCACTAGCTATTCAGTAAAATGAAATTAATTTTAAAGTTCACCAGTATATGAAGAGCATCGATTCACTTTTAACAGATTTGGATATTTGCATCATTATTGTTATTATTTGCATTATGAAGTGATTTCTATTATTATCAGAGTGATACATAACCAAAAAACTTGAACGGATTCATTATAGATTATGTACAATTTATTCATCTTTAAAATAAGCTTTAAATATCCCCAATTACTTCTAATATCCATAACAAAAGATAATTTATATGGTAATAGCAAATAATTAAACTTCCCTGTATACTGTAATTAAGAGTTGTTCTCTTTTTCTAGCTTCCACTTATGATTTTAAACACATTGATTCCAAACTGCTAAGAATTGGAACTTTAAAGCGTTTTAATTTGGTGTCGCCAAGGCAAGTGTGATGCCGCTCAGTTCCTTACTCTTGGTAACTATTCCCTCATTCATTTGTGTCCCTGGCAAGGGGAGCTCCACTGCCTGGGTTAAAAGGATGGTGAAGGAAGTTGAGGTGGCTGCCACCTCCTCCTCCAAGTGGCCACTCCATTTCCTGCGTCCTAGGAAACTCCAGAGCCACATCCATCCACCGCCCTGGTCCTTGCAAACCCGAGCATCCAGCAGATCTAGACAACACTGTGCCCACGGCGGTCATGCAGTCTCGGGTCAGGTCGTTTGCGGGTCTAATGAAAGCTAAGTATAAGGGATTGTACAAACTTAGCTGTTCAAATTTAACTCCACCAATGTTGCAGAACGAACCTAGGTCACCATAAGGGTTACTGGCAGAGGAAAGCAGATCTCAGTGAAGATCACCCTTGGTGAATTCTCCTTGCTCACTGTGGATTGATTACCTGAGACTTCCAGGATGTAGGCACGTGTGTTTGAACATGTGGACCTCCATGTGGAAATCACACACACACACACACACACACACACACACACACACCACCTTCCTCTTGTAGATTTAAAATTATGCGATATTATCTCTCTGATGTGATTAATAAACTGATAAAGCACATAGATTAATAAATTGATAACAATGCACAGAAATGTGGTAGAATTCATGTAGAATGGATGCCAGCTGTAGGTAGTTTTTTGTTTTTTTGTCTTTTTTTATATTGCTTACCATGTTGTACTTAAGGCAAAGTTTAATGAGCATCAAAACTAAGCCTGTTCAAGGGACATCGACACCTCACATTTCCTTGGTAATCCTCAAATTGAAAATGCTTTACAATTCAAATGCCTGACAACTTGGAATTAATTTATTAGAAAATATGTCAGGAAGCTAAGAGGGGAAAAATACCCTTCAAAATATTTTGAAATATGTTGATCAATTTATAATGGTGAAATAATATCAACTAGTTTATTCAAAGTTGTGAAAGCAAGAACTATTTTTAATAAATGAATTTTCGCACTAAAATGAACAGTAATATATTTCATAGCAAACAACTATTACTGTTTCTTTGTTTTTAAAAGTAAACAGTTAAATGACTTTAGAGTATGAAATATGTCAAATGTATGTTGGCATTTAATATGTAGCAAATGTGGAATAATATATGTGAGTATGCAAGAATAATCCAGATTATCAAATCTAGATTTAAAATGTTACGTGCAGTGTATGTACTTATGTGTGTATGTGAGAGAGAAAGGGAGAGGAGAGAGAGAGAGAGAGAGAGAGAGAGAGAGAGACAGTACAGAGGGATGGAATCATAGCTGAGGGTAGATATGCTTCTTGGGGGTACACACATTCAGACGAGGTAAGACTTTGAGGAAATTTCGGATTCATCCATTAGACACTGAATGGTGACACTCATTTTTAAAAGGACATTCTAAACTGTTTAGGAATTGTCTTGATGATGATGTGCTGCAGCTAGAAATCTTTCCCACAGAGTGGGATTGTGCGAGACATTCTGTTTTTCATTTTCTTACTGGCAAACCATAACAATTCTAGTTTTGCTCCATTTTAAGCAGGAAAAAATTGGCATGACTGATTGATCCTCTCAATTTAATAGTACCTCAAAGGACTTTTGATCATTTGTACTGTAAATACTATCAGATGTTAGGACACCAAATGATTTTCTTCATCGAATAATGTGTGCCAGTATAGTTCATGAGTTTCGAAGATAATCCATTTGCGTACAAATTCTAAATCTTGACAAAAATATTTCATAGATTACCCATTAGACAATAAAAAGCTAGTAATATCTGAGCGTATGAAAGGTACCAATAACAGATAATGTACAATTTTATTAGTTTCCTTATGATTATTCTATTGTTTGATACCTTAAATGAATTTTTCACTGATATTCATATATAACTTATTTTGTTTTGTGGTCCCACATTTTTCTACTGAACAAGGGACAACTCTCCTCCTTTTTAGGAGCCAAATGGATTAAGAACAAAATCAATGACTGATAGAGGAGTCCTTACCGTGTATTATCAGAATGTATTTAATTTCATGCATGCACAAAAGATAATAATGTGATTCTCCAGCACTAAATATTCCTCAGCCACTCACTCTCAGCATCATCGGGAGTAAAACTAGATGCAAGTTTCAGGATGGTGAATTACTGCAAATAATGAAGTTAAGGGAACTCATTAATCTTTATCTGCTTGCCTATTTTCTGTAGCTTGCATGAAGTAGAAATATTCATTTGGGGGCTGACCAGGTTGCAGGGGGTCTGGCATTATGGAGAAAATCATGGGGCTGCGATGCTTTTTCTTTTCTTTTTAAATTATACACAGCACCTTTTCCTTACGTGCCTCTGTTTTTCTTTTAGTGGCAAAGCATTTCTATAACACTGGTTGAGAAAGTGCAGATGATTGCTGTAATCCTAGGATCCCTGTTCTTAATAGCCAGTGTGACTTGGCTTCTCTGGTCAGCCTTCAGCCCCTATGCAGTGTGGCAGAGGAAGGACATCCTTTTTCAAATCTGCTATGGAATGTATGGTTTTATGGACCTAGTGTGCATAGGTAAGACCATGATGTTCAACATTTATGAACTGTCAGTAATCCATTTTTTTTCAGCGATTACCTTCACACCAGGTGGATCTATACATAGAATGTGGTTCACAGTATCTCGGTTTTATGAAGAATTAATTATCTGGGGCTAGGGGAATGCTTTTCTTTAAAAAAATAGCATTTATATTCTGATGTCTGACAAAGTAACAGGATGAAGCGCGTTTAAAGTCACATATTTTGCAACTAAAAGAAAGGAGGGGTTAAAGAAACACTTTGAGGTGAGTGATAGAAGTAAGCCCACTCATTTCTAATGACTAAGAGCAAGTCAGTGTCCCTTTACAGAGCCAGGGAAGAATAAATCAGTGCAAATGGGAATACCGTGCATTCGTCAAGAAGACGGTCACCCAGAAGACTGTCATAATTTTGTCTCGCGTGATCTGGAGACATGGATGACTCCTTGGAAGGTTAGGGACTTGGGGATAATTTTCCTTCTTGACTTGTATCTTCAGTGGCTTCGAAACGAAAGCATATCAAACATTTTGGCTAAAATAGTTTACTACAAAATAGCTACAAAAAAGTCATTCTGTGATTACTTGGCCAGTCTGCCAATTCCCTAATACCATGGAAAGAGTGGAAGCCAATTCAGGCAGCATTTATGGGACATGTGTGATGTGTCACAGGCAGCCACTGTGATGGTGACCACTTCTAGGGTCAGAGGCTGGAATTAGGGGATGGCTGCCTTTGGGCATCGGGTGTCAGGAGAATTTCTCTGCTCTGTTACGGTTCACAGACTTGTGAGTTGCCAAAAAGAGCCATGATTTAAAACAATGTTTCTCTGAGTGTGGTGCCTAGACCGCTGACAGGGTCAGCGTCTTTGTCACCTCCTCATTCTCACCCCCATCTCAGAGTTATTGAGCCAGCAATGTCAGGGGTGGGACTTGGCCACCTGTGTTCACACCGCTCTGAAGTTCAGATGCCCTGGAAGCTTGGGAACCTCAGAGCACAGGGGACAGATGCCCAGTGTGGGACTGAGCGGCTGGGACTCCAACCATGGCCTCTGCTTGCCTGGGTCACCTTCATCTAGCCGCACTCCTGTCCGCTCCCCATAAAAATGGACATAATAATCCCTAGCGTGCAGATCTAAATGGAGACAATAATTCCAGCATCATTATGTTACTAATTAGAAATGGTAGGCTGAATATATTTCAATAAGTCAGAAACATTGAAATAACTTTATATCACTTAATGTGCATATTTACTGAGTTTTAACTAGAAATTTCAACTAATTTTCTCAAAAGAACTACATCTATAAATGTTTAAAATATGGTCAGCTTGACTTTTCCTTTTTAAAAATGTCCTCCCTGATACTAACACAAGACTAATTGGAAAGAAAATAATCATATTTTAGTCCAGAAAGAAAAAAAGAAGGGTGGGAAATATCATGAATAATATGTAAACTGAGCAGATGTTTCCTGAACAATTGTGCTAATCATCTGTTCTAACACTTTGCATTAAAAGTGATAATGCATATGCAAACATTTGGAAATTGTGAAACTCTATTAAATTAATCTTTAGAGAATTTCTCTAAGGAAGACTCACAAAATTGTTCTACAAATTGAATCCTTCAACAAGTTCAAAGATTGTGTTCATTCATCAACTTGAATATTATGTTGCATTCTATTGATTTTAAAATGGGAGTATTTCAAAAAGCTAGAAGAATTTTGAAGGTTTTTACTATAAATAAATGATAAACATTGGAGAAGATAGATATATTTAAATGTTATACAGTACATACTTGTGTGGAAACAGTACATTAATATGTATATTTTTTATGTTTTTTATGTACTGGTTTAAAATAACTTTTTCAAAAAAAATTAGGGAAATGCCAAAAAGAAAAAGAATTAGGCTCCCAATTCAACTAGGAGGAGAAAAAAAATCCAGTTGACTTTCTTGACATTATTGTAAGACTAAAAAGGACTATATATTTTCTGGTTAGAAAATCATTTTCTTGAATTTCAAAACTTGCATTCAGTGCTGTTATAATATCCTAAAATTTTATTATTATTGCCAGCAATTTAATGAAGATTTTTTAAATCTGCTTTCAAAAGTCTAGACATAAGAACTAATGGTCACTTAGTATTATGTGACCTATTTAGACTTCCTCAAAATTTAAGCATTTGCCCATTTTATAAAGTCAGACTTTTTAGAAACAAAGATAGTTGTCATATTTCTGGAGATATTTTGGAAAGTAAACTGTTTTCTGCAATTTTTAATATTGACAGTACTTTGCATTATCTTAGATTCATCAAGCCCAAATTTCATCCTTCAGTGATCTATTTGTATATTTTGAAAAATAGTTAAAAATTCAGATCAAGCACTATTTTACTTAGAGAAATAATTTTTCTGTTTGGCCTAATGAACATCTTAATTTTTTTGCCTCAAGAAATTAGGAAACTACTATACTAGAGAGAGCAATAACCATTTGGATTATAGCCCGTGTTAACCTCTACTATTTCAAATTAATTAAAATATCTGCTAGCCAAATGAAGACAGTAACAAAAATTACATTGATTTGATTGTACCTTAGTGCTAATATACTGCCCGGAAGAGTTCGAGTCAGGGATAGAGTGAAAAGCAACTCCACACTTTGAGTCCAGTTTGCTGAGGTCAGTTTAATAAATGTTTATTGGGAACATTGTACCTGTTTGGCACAGTGCTACGTGCTAGGAATACAGATGAGTCAGTGATTTTCCTGCCCCAAAGGAGTTCTTGATCTGATGAGGATGTACAAGTTTTTTTGAACCAAACTGGAGTTATTATGCCAAACTCTAACAGAAAATGAGTGATACTGGAAGACTGCGGCAGGGACCTTGTGCTTATTTGGATCACAAGATACATTACAGAAGACTGCTCGGACCACAGCCTTGTGTGAAGACATCCCAACTTCATGTGGAAAGCACTTCTACAAGGATTTCTACCCCCAGGTTTCCTGTCTACTCTTGGACCAGCATCTCCCTTGTCGATCCTTGAACATGCTTGATTTTATTCCTTGTGGCCAAGGACTATTGTTATAAAATATTTTATGCAATGCCCTCAATTGCCTTTAAAAATGTCTCCTTCCCTCTGCCTTTGTGATTGTGCACATAGTTCACTCTGCATACACATTCCCTTCCTGTGCAACTCTGGAATAAATTTAATTAATCTTCAGAGAATCCCTCTTGCTGTTTATTATTTAGTTTGACAGGGAAGATGGTCATGTGAGTAAGTAAGTAAAATACAAATACGGGATGTGAAGTTATGAAAGAATGCACAGGAATTGGTAGTTGGATAATAGAGGCAGAAATTAACCCTGGAGAGTTACTTGGAGGAGAAGTTTTCTAGCAGATTTCAAGAGGAAGTGATCGCTTAGATGGCTGACAGCTGAGTGAATACTTGACAAAAGGAAAAATGGACCTCTCTTCACCCAGCATGCGAGATTGGCTTCCCTTACGGGGAACTTTGAAATAGTTGGAAATATTCCTATGTGCTTTTGTTGTTGTTGTTGTTGTTGTTTGAGACAGGGTCTCACTATGTAGTTCAGACTGCTCTGGAACTCACTGTGTAGCCCAGGCTGGTCTCAAATTTACAGTGATCCTCCTGCCTCAGCCTTCTGAGTGCTGGGATTACAGGCAGGGCCACCACGCCTGGCCCTACATGCTTTTTAAAACTTAGTTTTACCTAGATGAGAAAAACAGTGACAACCTGGAATTTTCTTTGAAAATCCATGACCATTCATTCCAGAATCCAAGAATGTTATAATCCCACCAGTGCATTTAAGATAGGAGTATTTCAAAAAGCTAGAAGAATTTTGAAGGTTTTTACCATAAATAAATGATAAATAAATAAATTGGATTGTTAAATAGAATTTTAAAGGTTTGTAGAACACTTATTTCCTTGGGGGAATTTGTGTACTTATTTCCACACACAGTGAATTGGTTTGTTAATTTCACACACTGTTAATTAGTAATTGTTCTCCTTTTCTTTTAGTTGTTTTTTTCCTGGCTATTAATGTTGTTAAGGGAGAATTTATACTTGAAACATCTCGATCAAGTTCAGAAGAACTTTCTGTAGCAATGAAAATGTTCAGTATCTATCCAACACCACACACACTAGCTAAGTGTAGCGGATAAATCTTTGAAATATGGCTAGTGAGAGTAAAAAACTAAAATTTAAATTTAATTTTATTTAAATTAATTTAAATTTAAGTTGGATTGTCATGTATGGCTGTGGCTACTGGACTGGACAGCACAGGTGTCGGAGGATGGAACGGTTAGGGTGTAAGGATTCATTTAACAAGTTCGCCTCGTCTGTCTGTATCAGTTGTAGTTCTTAAATGACACAGGAACTCTGTTCTGAGAGAGTTGAGTCACGTGACTATGAGTTCCAGAGGATTAAGTGAAGAGGATGAAGGGGAGAGGGACAGGGAGGCTGCCGGACGTGTGACAGTTGACTGTTTTCTGTCACTGAACTTTTTAAGAAGACTTCAGTGGGTTAAATGTGTATTTAATTTTCAATCTCCATTTATAATGCAGTTCATATCCATTGTAAAGATATTGAAATAAGAAGACAGCTATTTGGAAAGCTCTTTTAAATATTTAAGTGGATGACATTCAGACTGATTGCTCCCAAGAAGACTAATATAAACTAATATAAAGGATTCAAATGTCTGAGATGTTGTAGCCAGTGGCAGTAATTTAGGGAGAAGTAGAGGAGGTTTGTGTTGGTCCCCCCACCCCGAGAGAATTTTCACTGTGGACAAGAAGGGAAGATGATTAGCAACTCCTGAAAGGAAGAGCACGACCGTGGGAGGAGGCCTTGGGCAGAAGAAGCTAGTGCTGAAGGGAACATGTTTATTTGTGGCTAAAGTTTGAGGACCTTGGAAAGGCCACGGGAGGACAGGACTCACTTGGTGCACTTGCATCTAAACACTGAGCACAGTTTCTAAGGCATTTCAGTGTCAGATACTATAGCTG